TTTCAGCTCACAGTTCTGAAGTCTGTGAAGTTCAATATCAAGGTGCTGGTATCTGACACATGATTTCTTGGTGTGCTAGCCTATGTTGGAAGGTGGTAGGGCAAAATGAAGAGAGAGAGGGAGAGAGAACCTACACCTGAAAGCCCTTTTACGAAGGCACTCAACCCTCAATAATTCTCCATGGTCTAGTTATCTCTTAAGTCTGTACAATGGAAATTAAATTTTAACATGACTTTGGGAGGGACCAATCATTCAAACCATAACAGCATGATAGGCATATCTTTTGTGCACAATTGCTTACTATTTCTATCCTTGTTTCACCTTCCTTTTTCTCTGCCTTTCATCCTACCTTCTTTGAACTGTCTTTAGAAAATCAAAATGCCCCCATTTCCTTAGAAGATCACAACCCACCTCAAACTGATAAAGAAACTGACATTTATAGAACACATCCAAATATAATTATCCTAAAACTTTTTGGACAAAACAAACTAACAAACATAAATACAAAGCAGAGATTACAGAGGCTTAGACAATTAGTCAAACTCCTCTATCACAAAGTATGTCTTTCACCCAGTTATCTTTCCCTGACATACCAACCATCTATTGAGCACTCACCAAGTGGGTGTATTGAGAGAGAAGAGGAGATGTACTAGTATGAAATGAATTCAGCCCAGATAATAGGAAACCCAGCCAACAGTGGCTTGAACAAGTAAAAGGTTTATTTGACTCATGCAAAAAGAAGCCCAAGATAATATGGTTTAAGTGTAACAATGCCATCAAAGACCTTTCTAATACGCCACCCTCAACATGCAGTTCTTCAGCTTCTAATATGCCATCCTCAACATGAAGATCTTCAGCTTCAAGCTTCTCTCTTCTTGGTAACATCAGATGAACTGTGTGAATTACATACATTCAACTCTGGTACCTCTTGAACTCTTCTTTCAAAGTTCTTTCAAAATACCCTAACAGCATTTACTGACCAGAGATCTCACAGCCTACTGGTACTTAGCCTCAGAGACATTTCACCCAATGGGGAATGGAGCTGTATTCCATTTCCAGAATGCTGAAGGTTGCCACCAGCCTTATACAGCTTTCTTTCCATCAGAAGATCCACGGTATTTTCTGTACCCCAATATGGGGCAAGGATCAGGCACCAAGCTCTTTCATGTTCTCTTGTCCTCTCAAGTAGAATTCTTTCTCTCTCTCTCTCTCTCTCTTATTTTTTACCCTAATATCTTTATTATGTTGAAATTAAACAGATTGTTGCAAGTGATCATATCTCAGGTTACATTCCTTTTCTTTCTCTGATAACATCAAGAAAGATTCACCATAATCAAGAATGGCAGTTCCAGTGGAAGGAATGACCCTCCTGATCCCTTGGCACAGGCACAACTAGGTGGAAGCCTGTCAGCTCCTAAGTTGAGGCCCTGAGAAGGGTGTAGGTAGGAGGAAAAAACACAGTGAGAGTATTTCTAACAGGCTCAGAATTAGGCAACTGTGTACACATACAAATATATATACATATATACATATATATATATGTATGTACACACACACACACACATTTTAGAAAACAAAAAATTCTGTGCCTGAGTAGTTACATGTAGCTACAGCAACTTCACAATGAATCCAGAATCTAGATCCCTCTATCTTTCTGTGTGACTAACCATAACTAATGTTTCTTGCTCATAGTTATAAGACAGCTGTTGATGTCCCACTCACAGTTATAAGACAGCTGTTGATGTCTCACTCACCAGTTAGGAGGATCGAGAAGAAGCTGCTTTCCAGGAAATCGCAGTCAACTTCCAAATAGATCTCTTTGGTCAAACATGTGTCACAGATCCAACTCTCTTTTTGTTAGGTAGTATGGGGAATAAAATATTTAAGTAGTAAAATTGGGCCTCTGCCAATAAGAAAGAAGGAGAGGATAGATATTGGGTAGATAACTAGCAGCATCCTCCATGTGATAAACTGGAATGAGAGACATGCTAGCTTTGATAAATTACATCTGCCTCCATTTGTTAGCTCTTGTCACATATTGAATTATTTTCTATTGAATCCAAGGAATGCACTTAAATTACATTCAATTTTTCAGTTTGAAATGAAAGTACCATATTTGTTCCACTCTACTCTTATTATTTCCACCAAACCCTGAATTTCTCCATTCCTTACCACTATGTTCCATGGTATTACATTCAAAGCCTCAGTCACAGCCCACTGAAATCCATAGCAGTCAAATGGTTAAAAATCAGAGTTCCTAGAAAATCCACCTGAGATGATTAGTTAAAGCAATCTGAAAAAGCAAGATATTTCACTGCCTGCCACATAATGTTTCTCCAGGCCCAGCCCCTGTAAAAATAAAATATCGTTAATGGAAGCCAACTCGTTACCCCATAAAATTACTACAACACATGTGCTTGAAAATGTAAGACAGATATTCTTAACTTGGCAAGCCACAGGGAACCAGAGAAACGTTCTCCAAGAAATGATTTCATTTTGTTGGTTTTATATTTAAAGTCACATTTTTGGCAGGCAATCCCAAAGACAAAGTTCCAAGAGTAAACTGGCCTATGGGATAGAACTCAGACTTCTGGTCACTTGCCCACACGTGTTTAAATCACTTACCTGTCCTTGTATACCGGACATAATGATCTGGGAGCATGGCTCTGTTCCTTCTAGTTGTAGACCTCTTTTTGCCATCTTTTCTTCTACCCTCCATACTGAGTGTAGTTTATTACTTTAGCACACATATGTGGGGTTATAAAACAGTCTAGATTTGAAGTGCTACTCTGGCACTTAAGAGTAGTGTAACTTAGACAAATTACATAACCACACTTTGCTTCAGTTCACTCATCTATAAAATAAGCATCACAATAATGTCTATGTCATAAAGCTGTTATGAAGATTGAATCAGTTAATGTATTAAAGTTCTTAAAATAATGCCCAGCATGTAGTGTGATATAGGTGGTAGCTGTTATTATTATCACCCGGCTGGATAACAGGACATGACCTAAATTAGCCAGCAAAATTATTCCCTGAGGTAAGTCAGCCAAAACCCGAATAAAAAAATTCTGTAGAAATGTGTGTGGAAGCTGACAGATATTCCCCCAAATACTACAAATATAAGGGACTCAGCTGAGTGATCAGGGAAAGTTACCTGGGATTCAGATTCACTATTTCCTCTGGATGCTTAAGAACTGTGAAATTTTAGTGAACAGAAGATTCTCAGGGTTTATCTCATATAGTTCCTTCATTTTATAAAGAAAAACCCGATCTATGAGTAAATACAAGGTTACATAAGTAATTAGTGGACAGCTTCCTGGGCCCTGATGCAGTGACTTTTTTTCTTATATTAAGGTAAGATAATTTCTTTATTCCCTCTCAAGTGATGATGGGAAGAGAAAGACAAGAATCTGAAATAGGTTGTAAATCTCCATAATCTCTGCTTACAAAGAGGTCCATTCCAATTCAGAAATATTTACTTAACACAGAATCTTGAAACTGTAGAAGTCTTTGGGCTTGGAGCTTTATAACTATTTACTCAGCTGATTATCTCCATTTCTTACAGTGAAATGTGAAACTTGTTTTTTAAGAGTGTATGTGCAGCTTGAAATCTTCAAGATAGGCAAAAAAATGTGAGTTAGGTTTTCCCATTTGGGTGCCAAACTTACAATCTTAACCTTTTCCTCTTCTCATCTTTGCTTCTATTATTCTGATTTCAGAATAATGTCCAGCCCTATTATATACATTTCTGTAGCATTTTCATTTCCCAAGGGTCTTCCTGATTTGACTTATATTTCTCAACAATTGTCATTAGCTTTATCATCCTCACTTGACCAATGAGGAAATCAAACTTAGAAAGGATTCAGTGACACTCTTCTATGATCACGTAAGTAAAGGGGAAGCCTGATTAAAAAACGACAACAAGAAACAAACAAAACAAAACAAAAAACAAAGAGACAGGTTTTCTGAGTCATTCTGTCTTTCATTTATTCAATATTATCTTGCCAATATCAAAGCCAGTTGATTAGGGCACTTAGCTGTTAACTAAGTTTTTATGGGTTTAAGTCCCATTGGTCTAGTGAGGCTGTGTGTTTCCCATGTGCACTGAGGATAAGTGTTTTTTGTTTTTTTTTTAAATCACTCAAGATCCTTTCTTAAAGCTTAGCTTATATCCAGATCAGTTATGTTTTACTCTAACACACAGTAAAACTATTCAGTGTTATCAATGAGTTCACAAAGTAGTCAAAAGGTAAACTATACCTGAGATATCAAGTATAAAGAAATAAGAGGTTTTTAGGGTAACAATATAAAACAAATTATAAATGTGCTGAGGTCAATAAATCAGTGACCAGATAATTAGAGCCAATCAGAACCATAGACATAACTGAGAAAGACTATCTGTAGGTCAGCTTCACTGCTTCCCTCCCAGCCTTACTGCCCCAGTCACTCTACAGCTCCCAGGTTTAGTCACACCAGACTAGTTTCATTTCTTTGCACACCTCATGCAATTTCAACATGTCTTCCTACAATTTGTATTTCCTTTTCATCTTTTCTTGTGCTTCTATTTTTTAAAAAAATGACTTACTTATCATTTTATTTATCCTTCAAAGTCTACTTCAAAAGTGTCGAAGACTGATAAAACTACTGTTGTTTAGGAACCCTCAACCAGTAACTGGGGCCTTCTAGGAATTTAAGAGACTCTAGGAAATAAGAAGGAAAAGTCAGTTAATAATAACTTCTCATCCTCATGAAGTTTCTCATCCTCATGGAGTCAGGAGACCATTAGAGACCAAGAAAGTGATGATGTGATGTTTCTTGCTCATCCCCTAATTCAACAATTTTATTGAGCACCAACTATTTTATTATTCTAAGTAAAAATGCATCATTAAATAAGACAAAAATTATCCTCTTATGATGTTTTTATTATGATAGCAAGGCAGACAATTACATATATATATATATATATATATAAACACACATAAATATATAACTTAAAATTGTGGTGAGTGTAAAAACTCAAAAAGACAATAAGATTATATTTGAGGGAAATGTAGACATTTTGGTTGAATCTCCAGCACTTACTTCATCATCTCTTGATGAATAACAGCAATGCATGATTTGGAGAAGGATTTCAGTTCAAATGGTGATGACTCATATCTCATATTTATAAATTATTCCCATCTACTTTATCAATGATTGGTTCAAGCATAATCATGTGACTCAGTTCCAGTCAAAAAAATGTAAAACCAGTTTACTGCAGGCATCAGAGAAAGTTTTAAAAAAAATTTTATGGAAGAACCATAACAAATTAATAGTTTTATGGTATTAACAAGGAGCCTTGTGGCCCAGAATTTTCCTGAAACCATTTTTACCATCATGAAGGGGGAACCAGCTGTAGGAGGAATATAATGATATGGAAGCTGGAGTTAAAAAAGGAACGAACTTGTTAGGGTACTAAGTCAATCACCTGAAACTCACCTGATTTCAGGATCTCCTCTTGTAGGATCTCATATTTCCTGCTGTTAACATAAACTTGAACCACATTTTCTTTTACCTGTTCCTGAAAACAAATGACACAAAAGGCTAGATGGTCAGGCAAGATCTCTCTAAAAGGTGACGTTTGGACTGAAACCTAAATGATGAGAAGTAGCTAACTGACCAAAGATCTGGAGGAGTTGGAGACAGTCAGGATAAAGAGGCTAAGGAGTAAAGAAATAACAATCAGCTTTTTGAGGGACAGAAGGAAAGCCAGTGTGGCTGGTGAAGTGTGAACCAAAGAGAGAATGGGATAAGAACCAATTGAAACATACACAAGAGTCAGAGTTTTAACTGAGATTTTAATAGATTCAAAGCATCTCTTCTTTGAAAGGTTTAGCAGAAATCGAAGTTTTTGTTATTCTTTCTGAAGTCATATATTTGTCATGACATCCAAAGCAAAGAACACCTTAAATGCTCTCCATCCCCTCAGCTAAGATCCACGTCTCAAATTTGAAGATCCTAAATTAGGCAATTCTGACAGAATGCTGAGATACACCCTTTTGTTGGGCTATAAAAATCCAGGAACATAGGCAGAAAAGATTTGATGGTAAAAAAATTATTGTAAGACAAATGGGAAGGGGAAAGAGACAGTCAATATTCTGACATCCGGGCATACAAACAATTCTGCTTAAGTGATTTTAAATATCCAGAGCCAAATGGAGAATTAGAGACAGTGTTAAACTATCACCGTTTATCTTCATAGTTTATTATTGCTTCTAAATCCTTAACATATTGTAAAACTAAATGCTCCACTTTACTCACCTGTGTAACACTTGTACGTATTCTATTTTAAACCTAATTTTGTTTAGTTATGTGTGTATGTATCTATGTCTTTCCCAGCAGATTGTAAGTTCCTGGAAAAGAGACAACTTGAAATCTCTTTTGTATTCCCTCATCCTCTGACAGCTCTATCAATTTAATAGAAACTCAGTACATTTTTGATGAATTAAATGCTCCTTAGTTGCCATTTAACACTGGCAGACAGGTGCTAAGATTCCATTTCTCAATAATTATATTATATAGAATGCATACTAGGTAAGCTCATTCCAATAGTTTGTGACAAAATTTTATATAAAAGAAGGATTCTATTTCAGTTTATAAATAATTACAGGCTTTTTTGGTCTAACTTCAAAATTTAACTGATGTCTGAGTTTCTGAAACCAACAATTCCTTCATTTGTTTCATAGAAACAACTGCTCTAAATTGCAAACAACTGTCTAAAAACGTACCCACATTCACATGGTACATTCACCTCATTCTTCAAATATTGGTTTCCTTAAGGAATCAGTTTCTGGCACCCAACATTTGGTTTTGATGTCCTTCCTATGTGTTCACAGAGCAACCTGGTTTGTATGACTTAACCTATGTAGTTCAGTCTTACTCTGATAGATACACAATGCATGTTTGGTTGATTAATCAAGAAAAAGTCTGTGACATCCAACTTCCTTCCCATCTGCAAGCCCTTATCAGAGAGACAGTCAACATAATAATGTCTGCCGTGTGACTGATACAATAAATAAATAAATAAATAAATAAATATTAATGCTGTTGATATTAGCAAAGTAGCATATATTATGCCAAGAGCATTCACACACATTATTTCGTTTCATCCTCAAGACTTCTTCTAAAGCCAGTGATCCTTCCTCTGCTCTTCTCCACTTCCATCTACAGGCTAAGGCAATGGAAATCGAAACTCAAAATGAGCTTTTTTTTTTTTTTTTTTCTGAAACTGAATTTAAGTCTGAAGGATTATAGAATTTATATATACATATATATATATAAAATTCACTTGTGTTCAGTGTACTCTATTCATTGAGTCTAAGAATTCCTTAAGAGCCAGGGGAATTATTTATTTATGGTATTCTTTTCAGCCTCCCACTGTAATGCCCAGCATGTGTTATGTGCCCATTAAAGGCCAATTGAATTTAAACAAGGAGGATCATTTCTTAAAATTCTCAACAGTGAGGCTACAAGTGCAAGAAAAATCTACTTTATTTTCTAGCCAAATCAAAGTTTTGCTTACTCAGATATTTCTTTTTTCAATTATTCTGCTTAACCAATATTTTACTGAAGTAAAATAAGTCATTAAATAAAATCAGTTTCTCTTGCAAACTAACATTTTTCGTTTTGCTTCATATATTCATTAGTAACCTTAAAGTACGCTATTTTAAATATATTATTGATATAAACTTATATATTTAAAACTGAGTGTATTACCATGTTTATCTTGCTATTTGCTAGACATCTTAACAAGTAAACTTGATTCATTTTCAAGCTTTTGAAAGAAAATGTTCCGGCAACTGCTAGTTGATCTTGGTGAATCAGGACTAGCTCCCACAATTAACTTCTGAGATTTTAAATTTGTCAAAGAGAAAGTACAAATGACTTAATGTGTGGAAGAATGTCAGTGTCCACTGTATTATGATCTGCTAGTAAGCAACCTCAGTTCCTCTTCCTGGTTCCAACTGAGGTTAAAATGAAACTTTCTGGATCTGCTTCTGAATATTCTCTATTTTTGGAGAGAAAAACTACTAAATTATTGACATCTCAGTTGGCTCCATAACTGATATATTTCAAACTGTGTGTTTACTTTAAAGTATTGCTTTACCTTTACAAATTTAATACACTTTAAAAATCCCTTGAAAATGTAAGTTTAGATTTTGTCATTATTGGGTAATTTGACATCGAATAAGGAAAATGAAATATTTTTATCTGTTTCAAACAAATGAAGATATAAAAGATGCTGCCATTTTTTCCCTGGTTTATCATGTAGTTGCTGTTATACAAAGAGGAATGAATTCATCATCAAACATCTGTACTTCAATGTCAACATGCGGTTCAGCAGCAAACAAGTGATTCCATGATTTACATGAAGAGCTAGCAGGTTTTAATTTTAGGTTGAATCAGTTTCTAGAATTTCTTCTAAAATTTGAGCCAACAATTCTGGGAAAATCATCTGTGATAAGTGATGAAGATAATATGTCATTGTTGTTGTTTGTTTTGTTTGTTTGTTTGAAAGACATCCTGGGATTCCTGAGGAACATAAAACAGCTAGAGTCACTATCAAATCAGGCTGGGATTCTTTAGCTCTAATGCCAGTCCATATCACTGTTGAAGCATTCTCACCACAGGTTACTCTCCTGTTAAAGTGGCAATTTGAATATTTCCTCCAAACCTTTTGTTTTAATTATTAAATACAGTTGCCCAGAGAGATTTTTGTTGTTGCTGTCAGACTTTATATCAGGTAGGCTGTATTCTCTGCATTCCCTAAAACATTTCGGTATCTCAACAATCAGCTACTTGGTTGTCTTTCAGTTTCTTAAGAAGGACAGTCACATGTCACAAGAGAACTCAGTCAGGTATAAACAGACAATGAAATCAAAGCTGTACCAACCCCTTCCACCACAGAATCATGGACTTTAAGAAGTTTCAGGGACCGTCTAGCCCAATGTTTCATTTTACAGATGAAAAATTCTGAAGGTCACGTTGGTTCAAGACTTTTTTAAGATCATAGCGTCTACTAGCAGGTATATCTTCTGGCTCCTAGATTTGTTCGTCCTAAATCTCGTAGTCCTCAGATCTTCTCGTTGCCATTCTCGTATCCTCCTGTGAAGGACTAGCATCTTCCAGACTTCTTTTTCATATGGCTCCTGCTGGTTTAGGCCACTGGGAGGCACTGGTAGAGGACTGGAGGACTAGAAGAAGAAAGAAGCAAACAGTGCCTTAACAATATCTGTACATGGTAAAGCCATAATATTGCATTTTTCATATATGAGTATGATTAGAAAATCAAGATTTAGTCTATTAATCACAGATGGAAAATTTCAATGTTTCAAGGGGCTGGTTAGGTCACATAAATGAATAAGGCAGGCACAGTAGACACCATGGAGAACACTCAGCCTATCTAGAGAAGACAGACTAACACACAGTTCCAGAAAACTACTGCCCTGCGAAAAGCTGGCCCATGCTGCTGACTTCTCTGAATTTTTCATTGAAAGGAAACACCTAGAACTGCATGTGAAATTTTCTTTTTTTCTAAGTGATAGCAAGCATTTCAATTTTAAAACACAACTATATGGACCAAATGCAATTTAACTGTGAGTTAAATCTGGCAGGCAGTTTATGATTCTGGCTTTGGGACAACAGCTCACCTCTAGGGAGGAAAAGTGTATTTAAATATTCACTAAGAAGTGCAGGATTAAAGCACTCACTGGAGTAGTTCCTTTTCCCCACTGCTCTGCACGTCGAATACGTGGTTATTTCAAATAATCATTCTATCTTGCTAAAACATCTTAACATAGCTGCTTAAATATTGCACTTTACTTAGTGTGTTTAAACACAGACTAAGCATGATCATACAGAGTTTTGGGGAGTTAAAAGGGCAACATTTGATAAAGACCATCAAACTGAGTTGTCAAAAAACCAAACAAATCCTGCTGTAAGTACATGGCATACCTTCAGTTATTATCAACAAATAAACCCTGGTAATGAGGTTTGGGATTCCTCTCAGTTGCATGTTGATGATAGATTCTCTGTGGAACTGACTCTAACCCATTAAGCAAGCTTGTTCCTGCCACCATGGCTGTTAATTTGACAAGACACTGTCGCATTAAGTAGAACAAACATGTTTTCATCCAGTCAGCCATCCAGAACCGACATGGCTGTTACTCTAACAACTGGATATTGATTGGAATCACTCACCCCTTCTGACCCTCCACTGGGAGGTGGAGACCAGGCTCAAGCTGGCTGAAGATTTGCCTCATTGGCACACATGGGTAGCATATTAAGGATAGCCACAAATTTTAAACCATTTAGCTCCTTGTCATGTTCATCCTTCAGGCACTGTCTGGTTCTCAGTTTCTTCAGTGGAGCAATAGGCTCCCAATAAATCATTGTTTATTAATTTTATAGATCTACACATCCATTTGTGAGGATGAATTTGTGCTGTTTTAGCGTTTAAAACTTCATAAATGCAAAACATCATAAGGCACACAAAGAAATTTTACAAGAAGTCCAAAAGATAAAAAATTAAAAAATTTTAAATTCTAAAAGGTAGGATGGAGTCTTCCCTCTCTTTTTAATCTATGTGATTGAGAGACATCCACTTAGTTTTTGAATGACCAATCCATTTAACCCAGATATAATCTTAAAAGGCTATAAATCAAGCTAACTGAAAAAAAAAATGATATTTACCTGATGTTAACTGTTTTTAATCTGGCTATTTTTAACCTGCTTATTAATATGGGTACCTAACATTTAGTAGAGCTTGCTTTTCACTCAGTCATTCATTTACCATAGATAAATTTTAACATGTGAAATTGCTGGGGTATCATTTACCTGTGTCTCTATGTCAATCTCAGCATGTGTTAGGCCCTGCTCTGTTCACTAAACTTCACATGCATGACAGCATCCCATGGTTGAAAAGGACCTTAAAGGACATTTAGTCAAATTGTTCACCAGACTCCCTTGCCTGCTCTGGAACAGTCTCAAGAATTGGGCATTCAATATTTGCTTGAACACCTCCAGTGTTGGTAAACTCATTAAACTCATAACCATCTGGAGAATTCTATTAAAATATTAGACATATATCCTCTGTTTTTTCTAGTATAGGTCAAATCCTTCTTCTGCAGGGAAGTGATTCAAATATCCAAAAATAGTAATGATATTCTCTTTCTGTCTTCTTCAAGAGATATGGTTTGAATTTATGTCCTCACCCAAGTCTCATGTCAAATTGTAATCTCCAGTGTTGGAGTTGGGGCCTGGTAGAAGGTGACTGGATCATGGGGGCAGATTACTCCTTTGGTGTTGTAGAGTTCTCATGAGATCTGGTGGTTTATAAGTGTGTGGCACCTCCCTGCATCTCTCTTCTGCTCCGGCCATGTGAAGTGCCTGGCTCCTTCTCTGCGTTCCACCATGATTGTTAAGTTCCCTGAGACCTTCCCAGAAGCTGATGCTGCTATGCTTCCCCACACAGCCTGCAGCACCATGAGCCAATTAAACTGATTTTCTTTATAAGTTACACAGTTTCAAGTATTTCTTTATAGCAATGTGAGAATGGACTAATACACTCAGCTAAACACCTCAGTTCTTTGAACTACTTATCTTACAGCAGTCTGCAAACTGTGATCTAAGAGCTGTATCCAGCCTTTCACCTGTTTTTGTAAATAAAGTTTTATTAGAACAAGTCCATTCAATTACATATTTTCTAAGCTGCTTTTATACTACAATGGCAGAATTGACTAGTTGTGAGAGAGAGTGTACAGCCCCCAAATATTGAATAACCTGGCCCTTTAAAAAATAGTTTGTTGGCCACTGTCTTATACCATGGTGTGCTAAGAACCCTCATCATCTGTATTCTGGATGTCTTTCAGTTTTTCACTATTGCTATAAGCCTGTGACCTGCAAAACTCAAGAAGCTTGTGTTACTTGTTCTGGATACATTTTCTATTAATGTAGAAAAAAGTCCTTTGGCTTACAAAAATTCTCCATCCTAAAGCACAAAGAAATCCTCAGTTAAACCATTGAGATTAGCCTGATTTATAGCAGAAAATATAAAGTTTTGCTGTTTTTCTCCAGGTGTATTCTTATTTTACTGTTCCATTGTTGCTTTAAAATATACTTTTGAGTACCTGTTATTGCAGAGCATTGTTCTAGACACTACATAAAATACTAAGACAGGGTTCTTCCCAAAAGAGTTTGCATCTGGTTGTATGGAGGAAAGTATTTATAAAATACCTGATATATTTGGGGTTTTACAAATCTCCCTTCACTGGATTATCATCTGCATAAGGTCAGGCTGCCTTGTCTGCTTGGCCCTGTAACGTCTCCCCAGTGCCTAGAATGGTGCTCAGCATATGGTAAATTATCAGCAAATATTTGTGGGATGAGGGAAACGATTAGAAGAGGGAGACAAAATGTAATCAAATATTAAATTATGTGATAAAGACTATACAAACAACAGGAACTCTGGGAAGAAATAGATCAACATGGTCTGGACAGAGTGCTGAATGGAAACTTCATCATGGAATCTAACTTCTCCTTTAAAAATAGATATCTCTTTTACAATCTTCAGATTGTTATTTCTCACCCACATCAGAATCCTCTAGTTGGCTTATTAAAAGGAGAGATTCTTGATGCCTACGAGGACTCCTGAATCAGATTCTGGCTGCCATGCCCAGAAATTATTCTTATGAATTCTAAAATTTGAAAACTACCCCTCTCAACAGAAGGTGACACAGTCTCTATGTGAATACCTCTAGTGATGAAGAACTGACACTCCCACAAGCTTCTGTATTTGTTAGCTTTAGTTGTTGAAAAATAATTTTTTACTGAGTTGCAATCTGCCTCCCATCATTTCTAATCATTGGTCTCAGCTGCATTCATTAGAGTCACAAGAGACAAATTTATTTTTTCTCTTGCATATGACAACTCTTCAAATGTGGAGAGTTCTAGTAAATGTCTTCTCCTAAATCAACATGACTTAGATGCTCTTATCTTTATAGTTGTTGTTCACTAGCAGAACTTCCCGAGATCTATCAGTTACCCCAACATTCTGCTGAGGTGCCAGAGGAATCCAGCACTCAGAGCCAAGTAAGTGGTTTGGGAATCTGCAGATGAATCTCTTTTCCTTCTATACCAAATGAAACAGTCTGCCACAACCCATTCATCATTCACACCTGAAGCCAGAGTGTGCACTTCCCCCTCTAGCCCTTTATGTTCAGTCTCAGCAGACTCATTGGAAGGGGTTGAGGAGAGAAATGTTCATAGATTGCGGATTCCCATCTCCACACCATTCTTAACACTCCTGTCAAGTTCCATATTTCCCAACATCCATCTTAAAATGTGTCTCCCAGAACAGACTAATGTAGAGGTCAAGGTCTAAGTCAGAGTTAGACTTCACCACTAATTAGCTGTGCAACATTGGGTGATTATTGTTTAAATTCTTTTACCCTCCATTTGCTTAATCTATAAAATAGAAATAATAGCACTGCTTCATATGGTTGTAAGAATTTAATGTGGTAAAGCAATCAACACAGTACCTGGTGGTATACAGTAGGAAATATAGGTAAAGCAATCAACATAGTACCTGGTGGTATACAGTGAGTTTTCAATAAATGTCAGCCATTATTACTACCTTCTTGGTAGAATGAGACTATTACATCCCAGCAATCCTGTAAGTGTTGTAATATTTTTATTTACATTTCTGTCTCTTTGTGCAGATGGTGAACACAGGCAGGGGCCACATCTGACTTATCTCTAGCTCCAGGTACTAAAGAGCCACTGGGGAGAGCTCAGTCACGTAATCGAACACTACCTAAGTTTTCAACCTCTCCAGTATTTTGCATATTACCAACCCCCTACTTTGTGCTTCTAAACTAGGCCAACCTAATACATGCAACTCTGTGGGCAATCAATTTTAGAAAGCCACCATCACAACAGCCTCTTCTTCATAATTGTCTGAAATCCAGCTTCCCTGCCCCTGCCCTTGAGCCTATGCTGAGTCCATCACCCTGTCTTACACCTGATCCCCTGGCTTGGTCACAAATTTTTACTTACATGCTCACTTATGGACATACGGACTAGATTTGAGCTTGCTCTCTGACTTGCCCATATTCTGACCCTTATGAGTAGCCATGCTGGTTTCCTGAGTTGCAAACTCCCAAGCCTAGAGCAGTACCCTGTTTTGGACGTCTGG